AAAATGCCACATGATGGCACTTCTGGAGAAGTAGATTAACAGTTAACAACAATAATAGAGTTCAGACAGGATTTTGAAAAGATAAGGAGAGGTGAAACGTGAGGTTGAAGAGGATTCTGAGGGGAGCAGGGAAAAATCTAGTAGTCATTCTTCATGTGGGAATAAATAATATAGCCAAATACTCGCTGATAAGGATTAAGGACAATTATGTTAGGACATCAGCTGACTCAATCAAATTTCTCCTGTCGTAGGAGGAGGGAGAAGGTGAGACAAGACAATGAAGATAAATGGATTGCTCATGGACTGGTGCTACCAAGATAGTTTGGGGATATATGACCACTGACAGGCGGTCACAGATAGAGGACTTTTTTCCAAGGATAGGCTGCACCTGAATATGGAGAGAAAAAATAGCCTTCTGGGATTAAGGCTTTCCTGACTAATAATAAGACCTTTAACCTAGGGAGATGGGGTGGGGGGGAGGAGGAGGAGGAGGAGAGAGTAAGTGGCTGGAAGAATCCCACAAAATTTCCATTCTGAGAATAAACCTGCAAAAGCTGGATGGTCTGTACATGAGAAGGTTGCTGTAATCCCTGGGGCCTTATGGGTAGCATGGCCTGCTGGATATGTAGCCCCTCCCCTCAACTCGCCTGCCACGACTTTGATGTTCAGCTATCAGGAGAGGGGGTTCAGTGGATATTTTCTTGGAAGGGCTTCCCGACCATGGCAGTACTCACGATTATTCGGCGCGATATTCCACGGGGCTCTGCCTCCCCCACACCCTGTCCACTTGCCAACCGGATAGGTGATGGTGGCATTGACCCCGCGGGCTTGCTCGCCACCAGCTTCAGGTGAGGGCACCCACGTCCGAGTGGGCTCGATCAGCTCTTGTCCTTCTGACCTTGATGCCTCAACCTTCTCTTTCTCTTTGGTTTTCTTTAGAAGAAATATTCTCCTGGGGAGGGGACGGACGTGGAGCCGCCTCCTTTCCCCCAGCCTCCTACAGCGGGCTCAAATGCTGCCTCTTCTCTACTTCCTACAGGGAGCTCGAATGCTCCCCTTGGTCTGCCTTCCACAGGGAGCAGTAGTGCTTCCCCTGCTTTGCCTCCTACAGAGGGCCGAAGTGTTCCGCCTGCTCTGCCTCTGGCAGGGGGCTCAAAGATTTCCCCTGCCCTGCCCACCGGTGTTGCTCCGGCTGCGCCACTCCTCTTCCCCACAGAAGCCTCAGCACCTCTGGTGTGCTGCTCACCTCCTCTCTCCTCCTCCGGCTCCCCCTCCCTGCAGGAACTGCTGGGGCTTTTAAACTTCCGCGCCGCGGCCGGTGCAGGTGCCGCGATTGGTCCAGCTGTTCCCCACGCGGGGAACAGCTGATTAAACAGCCAGCGTGACGCCAGCTCGCACAGCTGCAGCCATGGTCCCAGTTCCTGCGCTGCCAGGCTGGCAGGAGGTAAGTTTTCCCTGTGGGGGGTCTGTTTCGGGGCTTTGGGACCAGTGGAGCTTGCCTCTGCCCCTTTGAAACTCTGTGGGGGTGTGTTGCCACCACAGTTGCCCAGAAAGGAAGGGCACTGTGGAGTGGAAGAGCCATGGAAGGCAGCAATATAGTTGTAAATGGAAATAAGATAGTCCTATGTACTCCATCTGGGAGCTTGGGTAAGGTGAGATGGAAACAATCAAAGATGGCATAGACTGAACAGCTTACATCTCCTGTCATGGTCGTTTCCCCTGCCTTGCTTAGAAAGTCCTTTGTGGGTACATCTATATGTGCATTTACACTAGTTTAAATTTACTACTCAGTAAGTACCTGTGCAGTAAGCGAGATTAAGCCAGTGTCTACATGTGCAGGCGTTAAAGTGTATTAACATTGTATGTGGACAGACTTGAAACTAAAATTAGTCCAAAGTCAGTCCACACACAGTGTTACTGTGCAGTGAGGTGTCTACATGTGCATTACTATGCAGTAAATAATTAGGAGTAAATCTGATACCTGCATGATGACACCTGCACAAATTTGATACCTGCATGATCAAATTTACATTTAAATCAGCACAAGTCAACATATTTACTGCACAATACAAGCATGCATGAATAGATGTGCACCTGTACTGCACAGTAATTTCAGTTACTGTGCAGCAAATGTGCATGTGTAGACATGCCCTGTGAATGCTGTTGTTGCCATCCTCTGCCCCTTTAAGTTTTTAAGAAAAACCTTGGGGTAAAAGACCCTTGCAGGAAAGCAAAAGAAAGAGGAGAAACCCCCAAATACACACACAAAAGAACACAAGATAAAAAACAACAACCATCACATCAATTCCCCTAAAAAATCCCTTGTTAGCTGCCCCGTTAGGAATTGGCACTGGTTACCGGTAATCAGGATTTTATGCCTAGAGCAGCCCTACCTCTAAATTAAGCTTAGCTGGGGAAATAAGCAAAAATGCCTTCAATCTCCTACTGCTCAGAACAAAAGCCCTCTGGTACACACATATACACACAGTGTCTTCCTCAAAATACAGAATACAAGTACCAGACAGTCAGACCTATACCAGCATATCCAGTAACTGCCTCTGAATGAAGGATTGATCCTTACTCACCTAAACACTCCCTCTCAAACTTCCCTGATACTGGTTGCATTTCAGTTAACTTCTACAAGGCACAAGAAAAAAGAACTTAGGGTCAAAATATAAAAGGTATTAAAGATGGATTGCAGACATTATTCAAATATTCATGGCAAACATGGAGAAATAATCTGCAATCTGGAACCTCTGGAATTCTGTATATGCTTAGGGTAGGCTCACTTTCCTAATCTAAAGTCACATCTACACTAGGAAGTGTGGATGTGACTAGAAGATCCCATCATCTAACTGCCAGCTTTACAATTTCACTAAATGTATATACACTTTGTTTCCTTTGTATCATGTTACCAAATGGTTGGAAGGAAAGCATGGGCGCAGTAGCTAAGCATCCCAGTTTTCTCCAAACCACTGATTGGCCTGCTGCCTTGTGGTTCATTTTTTCAGCGTGTTGTTGTAATCCAACCCACCTCTGTAAGGGGCTTGGGTTCAAGCTCCCACAATCAATGTTCCCTCTAAGGTGTAGCAATCAGTGAGCGCGCCGCTTCAGTCCGTTCCCGAACTGGTCCCACCTCCCCCTTTCAGCACGCACCAGGGGAATGCCTGCATTCAGGAGCGTAAGACTAGAAGGGACTTCCTGGGAAATCCCAGGTGGGGCCCCTACATATGCTGACAGACAACTGTGCAAAGGGGTCCACAACATTCACTCCAGCCCCTTTCACACACTGTAGATCCAGGGCAGCCCCTGCCCCAAAACCCCACTGTGGGCCACAGGATGGGAGCGGGACACACAACAGGAGCACTGAGACCTTTGCCATGCCAGTGGCAGGGCAAGATGTGTTCAAACAGACCTAGACAGCTGACCATGACCCATGCTAGAGGCAGGCAAAACCCCTACAGTCCTTGCACCTGGGAGGTCTCTCAATACCTCTGGGGGCACCAACACCCCCTCTCCCAGCCCATCTCCCACCTCTGGCTGTGACCAATGTCCAGGGCTTAAAGCTGAGAGGGGCGGAGCGGAGCAGAGTGGCCCCTGTGCAGGCAAGAGGTAACCTACCATTGGTAAGTGTCTCGCACTGGCCCTGGTGCCTCTGCCGCACTCCATGCCCAAAGTTTATAGGAAGCCGCAGCCCAGCTCCTCTCTGGGCAGGTGTGCGGCATTAAAAAGTTACTGCGCAGCAAGATTTTTTTATTGTGCGCAGCTGTGCACATGCGCAGCTTAGAGGGAACCTTGCCCACAATTCCCTTTGTTCTATCACCAAATGTTTTCATTTCACTTTTTCATTACCAGCATTTCCCTTGACTCATTCCACAAATTCTTCTTGCTTGCATTAAGATTCAAGCTTTCCGCCATTTTGCTGCCAAACAGATTAGTAAAGATCCTGTATCTGTTTTAAATTCTTCTGTATTTATGGAAGTTCAACAACTGCTATATGGCTGCTATTCATAAAGGAGTGACAATTAGAAAACTGGAAGTGGATGGTGCAGACAGTCAATGCAAATTGCTGGGTGTTGCAGACATTCACTAACCATTTGCACATGCTGCAGTAGTGCTTCTGAGCACAAGACACAAGCCCTAAGTGGCATGATCAAAATGTGCTGTAAAACTAGGGCAATCAGCACTATGGCTGAAGAAATACCAGACACAGAAGGGCACACTTTTGGAGCTGTGTGCTCCAGCCATACAGCATAAGAGAAGTAAAATGAGAGTATTTAATAGATACCAAAATTTAATGGATTTGGACTTTGTAAAGACTAACTAGTTCAACAGAAGGCAAATTTTGTGGCAATCGAGGCCACTGACATTTCCCTACTATACTCTGGCCCCATTTCATTTGACACTACCCATCCTGAGGTCACCTCCCAGACTCAGGGTAAGATGATAACATTTTGCCTTATTAATTCAACACATTTTCTGATGTACTTGTCATCTCATGGCTTGCCCTACCTTAGCCCACAGATTCAGGAAGTAGTCCAGTTTGATTTGAATGACAGCCAACAAAACTGCCCACTAAAGACAGACACAATTACAAGGGATGCCCATCATTCCTCAGCAGTGGACCTTGACAAACCAGGGACCACTGGGTTTGCCATATTGCACCCATCAACAGCCTAACCACTTGTCCTAGACACACTGAATTTGGCAGTGTCAAAACTACAGAAACACTCCTAGCTAAGTATCAGGATTTGAGTTTAAAGGACACTTCAGAAAGTTTGAAATAATCTAAAAAAGATGTATAACCTTCTCTGTGTCTCATGATGAAAAAGTCAGAAGTCTGAGATGGAATTTTCTTTCTTGTACTACATAGTCTAAAATGAATGATTATATTAACTTTCAAGTTATCTATCTCATCATAATCTTGAAAGCTGTATCATCAGGTTTCAAATATCTGTATTTTATTGAATTTATATATTCATAAATGGGATATTACTTACTTCAATCTCTTTAAGAGGAAACTGCTGCAACTTTTTGGCTGTTTTACCTAAAAAAGAATGAAAATATAAGAATGTGCAATGAAAACATGCTGTCTCAGTTATTTTTAAATTTAGTTTTTATTTGGGTACTCATAAGACAATATAAAAATAATTTATTCTCAGAAACAAATAATTGTTTTGATAATCTCAAATGTTTATGTTCTTATGGATACTTACGGAAAATATGGAACAATAAAGTATATATAGGAAATACATAAACTTTTCTTCTGAATGTGTCACATCCAAGTTAAATACATTACTCAGATTTGCAATATGTGCATGATAAATACTTTCTTCTGTTCCTTGAAGACTTCTGCCATATTACATATGGACTCTGGCCTTTTTGGATCACCAACGACTATAAATAAAAAGAAAATAAAGGTTTTTTTTACCTGATGGCTCACTTACGATGATCACTGGTACACTTTCAGAAGTCACTGAAACCTGGGGACTGATACGTGCTCTCTCTGAAATACCAGAGGCAAAATCCTGAAAGAAAAATTATGGTTTTCAACACTAAGTTACAAAATGTACAAAATTTTGGATTAGGATAATGTTAAATTTCTAGCATCCCACAAACAGAACTTTTTACTTCCAAAAGCTATTCTCTGAAGATATGATACACACACTATTTTGCATCCATCCAACTATACAAAATGAGGGAGGAAACTCTCAAAGCACCAAGCCACTTGGTAGAGGGAATCTCATGTTTGACCCCAAAGCAAGATAAGGATAGCTATGGCTTTGGCCTCCAACTACAGTTTACTTTCAGAGGGACATTAGACTACTTTCACATGTGTAAAAAGTTATTTAAAAATGAATACCATGACACCTACATTACCAATGCCTTAGTACTGCCTTAGTACTGCAGAAGAGCCATCCACCACTATTGCGATGTGTATGTCAGAGAACATTTATGACTGGAAATGCATTTAAAATATATAAATATTTTTCTCTTAGCATGTAAACCATCTGGGAGAAACAAAAAAGGTGAAGCTACTGAATTAAACTTCTTATTGTGCTGACATAACTGAAAAAAAATCTGTACTTTGTTAGGCAATACCTGAGAATGTATTACTGGATGATCTTCTAAATGTATAAGGTCAGCTTTAGTTGGTTCCAGAACCCTTATTTTTTCTGTGTTAGGTTTTCTTCTCAGTTCTATTTCCCAGTCTGGAACTACAGCAATAACATATTCTGAGTCCATAGGTTTGAAACAAACTGAAGATGTCCTTTCCAAATGTTCCTTTGGGTTCCTAATTAATGATTTTTGAGAAACACTTGATGTGGATGTTATAACCACTGCAGGAAGAGGCTGAAGTTTTGGGTCAGATTCTGCATATTCTGAGGAATCACCACGATGCATTTTTTCTGTAGTTTTCAGTACTTGCTCCGAAATTCTGAAGGACAGATTTGAATAACCTTTCAATTTAGTCTGTAAGTAGAAAAAATAATCCTTTCATCTCTGTTAGTTACTAATACTGTTTAAAGGTGAAAGGCCAAATGCAGTCAGTGATAAGGCAATTTCCACAGAAATTTGGTGCTAATTTCAATAATGAGATAAATGTTAAGGTAAGCAATGGGTGCAAACTGGTATATTGCAAGTGGTAAAGAAAATTAATTGTACCAATCTAGCAATTGGAAGCTGTGAGAAAGAATCACAATTTTCAATTTTAAAGGCCATATTCACTTCTATAAATTTCCACCAGTACAACAAAAGAAAACTCGATCAATTTTGTGGAGAAAGGGGAGACAGAACAGTAAAAGCACTTAGCAAGCATATGCCAGTTAAAGTAACTTCCTTTTTTTCTTAACATTCACATAGTGCCACATAGGCTAAATTCAGCCCTAATTGAGCAGATGCACAACTCCAAGCAACTTTAAAAGGAGCTGCAACTCTTGAGATCTCACACCCACAAAATATTAAACAGTGGGTGCATCTATACGGGACGTTTACTATGCAGTTGACTAGCTGTGCAGTAAACATTTCAGTGTCTGCAAGTGCGCCCCTATTAGACTAGAGTAAACTAATTTACTCTGCAGCAGGATAGTGTTTGTAAAATACATATATTATCCAGCTACTGAGGAAAAAAGCCTGTAGATGCTGCCCTGGTGCTGCCCTGGCTGGCTGAGGCATGAGGGTGCTTCAGTGCGGGGGCTGCCTGCTGGCTAGCCCTGCACTAAAGCAGCAAGCTGACCCCCCAGGCTCCCTGGCAGCCAGGGCTGCTCCGACCCAGCTCAGCATTCTGCACATGAATAAACTATGGAGCTTATTGCTCCAGACTTTATTATTTCTGGGCACACATTCAAACAGCATGCCTGGGAGCAATGAACTTCAAATCAATAAGCTCCAGAGTTTATTCATGTGCTGTAATGGCACATGTAGATGAGTGCAATGTAAACTACATTCATTATGCAAACCAGCAAAATACTAAATCTGTCCATTACTTTGCTACTTCTTTCAGTTTAATAATCTGCATACCATTTCTGTAATAGATAAACCTGGCCTAAAGCCTGCTTTTTTCCATAATGTATCTGATTTTTTTATGATAAAAATTTGAAAGAGAAAACAACCAAAAACTTACACTTTGACAGTATCTTAATTATTTGACTTCTAAATATCCAACATTATTCCAATCAAAACAGAAGGGACAGAAAGGAGATTAAGAATATATAAAGGTAAAATGTGGCAGAATTACAATATTTCTATTACAGCTTGGCCTGCTCTGAATGAAGTTTAGCAATTAAGTCATTGCTAAATTCCCAATGACTTTATTGGGGGCAAGATCGGACCTCTAAAAAGGATGAAATCAGTCAAAACTGGCATTTTTTCTGATTATATTGATTTTTATTAATTTGAAGCATTGCTCGCTTAATTTTCTTACTTTGAAGAAACAGTATTATCCTGTTTGCAGGGGGGAAAAAACATACTGAAAAATGAATGACAAATACAAGGCATCAAACTTGCATACAAAGCAAATGGCTTGCAAAAAGATCCCGTCAACTAACTAGAAGCTGATGACTTCTAGGAAGGAAGGGAGTATTTGTTATTTACTTGTTTATGCTCTTGACATAGGCTGAGCCAGTTAAGCATTCTGCCTGTTAGGTACCTGGCAAAACCTTTAAGCCTGATTATAAAGCTTAGAAGTAAGAGATGAGAGTTTGCAACAGATTGTGTGCAAGTGAATGCAAGGATGTGGCCACAAAAGAGACTAATTAAAGGAGCGACTTGAAAAGATGAGATGGTGAAAGAAATCAGGAGAGAAATGGAAAAGACTGAAAATATATTAAAGCAGTTAGAGCACACAAAGTAGAAAACATAAAAGAGACAGAAGTGGAGGAAGAGAGAAAGATAAAAAGGAAACAAATACTAGAAACAATGCAGGAAGACATCACAAGCAAATCCAAGGAGGTGATCCTTCCCCTCTATGCGACACTGGCCAGGCCGCAGTTGTAGTACTGTGTCCAGTTCTGGGCACCGCACTTCAGAAGGGATGTGGATAGCATTGAGAGGATCCAGAGGAGGGCCACTCACATGATCAGGGGGCAGCAAGGCAGGCCCTACGAGCAAAGGCTGTGGGACCTGAACCTGTTCAGGCTCCACAAGAAAAGACTGAGAGGGGATCTGGTGGCCATCTACAAACTGGCCAAGGGGGACCAGCAGGGTATGGGAGAGTCCCTGTTCCCTTGAGCACTACCAGGAGTAACGAGGAATAATGGCCATAAGTTGACTGAGAGTAGGTTCAGGCTAGACACCAGGAGGCACTACTTCACAGTCAGGGCAGCTAGTATCTGGAACCAACTTCCAGGGGAAGTAGTGCTTGCTCCTACCCCGGAGGTCTTCAAAAGGAGGCTAGATAATCACTTAGCCAGGGTCGTTTGACCCCAGTACTCTTTCCTGCCATGGCAGGGGGTTGGACTTGGTGATCTGCTCAGGTCCCTTCCAACCTGACCAACTATGAAACATGACCAGAATGACCTCTCTGCATGGGGCCAGGAGGGAATGTCCTCTCATCCCCCATCCCGCCAGCCCAGGGGTTGTGACTGGGGTGTGCCAGTGCTCCTGCTGGAATTTCACCCTGGAGATTCCTGGCTATTGGGCCTTGCTCAGAGTCAGACTGATCGCCATATCTGGGGTCAACAAGGAATTTCACCCCAGAATCAGATTAGTATTGACTGTGGGGGTTTCTGCCTTCCTTTGTAGCAATGGCCCTACCTCACCCACAGCCCTCTTCCTGGTATCTTGAGTATATATTAACAAATTTTATAGCAGCAGGACACTGGCCACCGTAGTCCTCCTACTTTGCCTGTGACAGGCTAGGGTGTTATGTCTCGAGTTTTACGTCAGCGTTGACTATGTAGTTTTGCTAAGAGGTTAGACAGTGGATTTGCATGGGATGTTTTGGACAGGGATGATCTTGGCTCAAGCAGGGACTAGAAGGTCTCTGAAAGTCTGTCCCTTCCAGTCATGAATGATGTGTGCCCCCGGTGGCTGGGGGGGCACAGCTGTGCTGGCAGCGGCGGGAACACGGTGGGGATGGCGGTAAGTGTGGAGCTCCTACAGATGCTGCTGGCGCTGGTGGCGGTGGGGGGGTGGGGGGATGGCGAGCGCCGACCAGGGGTCAGCAACCGCCCACAGGCACCTCTGGCAGCGGCCAGTGGCGACAGTGGACTGCCCGCAGACGCTGCTGGCAGTGTCAGCAGTGGGGTGGCGAGTGCCTTTTTGTAGGGGGTGCACCGCCACGCTCAGGGGGTGCACGTGCAACCCCTACGCGTCGACCCTGTTTCCAGTCTTACTATTCCTTAACTATGATCATCTATTAACAGTCAGAAAGCAAGTAGCAAAGCAGGAGACACATATACACAAGTTACATTTTAAAAAATGTATTAGCAATATATTATAATAAATAGCGTATGCCTGTCCTGTTCCTTTAAGCTGCTGTTTGGGAGTGAAATGGCAAACGTCTTTTTTCACCCTGCCTAGTAGGTGTCAGACAAGTATTTCCAACCTTTCCATAAAGTATACAAACAAATTACTTCCAGTACCCTGCAGTAAAAAATGGTAATCAGAGTATACTGCTGATGGAGAAAAAAAAGTTTGGCCAAAGACATGGGAACAGAATTCTATTCATACGAAATGTGGTATGAGATCTCTAAAATCCACTCAAGATGAACAGTTTCTCTCTCTTCTGTCAAATCTTCCAAACAACTAATCCCAAGCAAAAGAAAAAACTACCCCTGCTTCAGTCAAAGGGAATTTTGCTATTGATTTCGATTTTGATGACTGAGTAAAATGACAGACTTAATCCACCTATCCCAGCTACTGCAAAGGACAGAGCTAAACTGACACCTCTCAGAATCTGCAGAAAAGGTTATGGGTTGTATGGGTATTTCAAAGCCTTATATATGAACACTGACAATTAATTCAATTAAATACGATGAAATTTTAAGAATTAAATACCTTACCTCTGTTTTACACAGATCCTCTCCCTGTAACTCTGAATCAACTTCAGATAAGGAAAAAATAATCAGAGATTGTTTATCATGTCAATGTTTGTAATATAATGCAAAGGACTACATAATCAAGTAAAATGTGTGCATTTTAACTATCATCAACAAATTAAAGGAACATAATCTAATTGCATGAAATCAGTAAAAAGACTAATTTGCTTTGGAAATTTTAGAACCTAGCTAGATCACATGATGACAAAATCCCAAACTTCATGGAATTTCACCCAAAATCATCTACAGGCCTGTTAACAATACACTCTTTCCTTCTGAGATTTGTAATATTTTATTCTAGAACCTTTATTATAACAGTAGCAGACAAACATCATTTTCAGTGATTGAACTCTATATTAAGCTCAAAATGACCTTTAATAACAGTAATTCACAGGGTGTGTCCACGCATGCACTTACTCCAACCTAAATTTACTTTGGTGTAAACTACTCCGAAGTAAGCATTTCTGGGCAGGCATCTACACATGTGGGGATTAAGAAGCAGATTTGCTGCTTTTTGCACCAAGTTTCCTGCAGCCCTGCAAAGGACCCCTGCCGCCACTGAGGGGGCTCCAGGCTCCCCCTGGGTGCTAGCCCAGGGCTGGCAGGCAGCACCTTGGTCAGGAAACAGCTGCAAGGGGGGCTGCCTGCTGCCAGGGTGGGGAGGATGTCGCCCTGCCCTGGTAGCAGGCAGTTCCTGGCTCTGGTTTCCTGATTAGGGTCAGGGGACTTGGAAAGAGCCGCAGGGGAGGGGGCAGGTCCCCTGCGCTGAACTGCCAGTCTTGTGTATCTGGCTCCCTGATTAGGGGCAAGGGACTTGGAAAGAGCTGCAGGGGAGCGGCATGTCCTGTCCCCTGCCCTGATCTGCATCTCATGTATCGGTGTCTCTGCACTTAAAAAGTGGTGACTAGGACATCTGAACTAAAGCTTGCTCAATGAGCTTTAGTTCAAGAACCGCTGCTACCATTTTTAAGCATGGGGGTGCTGATATAGGAGACGCAGCAGTGCTTTAATTAGAGCAGCTTTCAGAGCCACTCTAATTAAAGTACTCCCTGGTCCCCCAACCCCGAATTGCATGTAAAAGTGCCATATTATTATGAATTACCTGTACAAACTTGGAAATGCATTTCACAGGTTTGAATGAAAGTCTCTAAACCACAGAGATTTTCCCTAAATTACATGGAAAACCAATTTAAGGTTGAACTAACATCAACATTTAGAGTGCATGGTTTCAATCTGATTAGAACTACTTCTATAATCTAAAATACACCTCTTTTATTATTATATGGGTGCATATACACGTGCAAATATGTGCGACTAAATTTAATGCTTATTAAGCTAATGCACATTAAGTAATTTTTGGAAGGTGTCTATGTGCGCAGGGATTTGGCACTAAAATCAGTGCCATTGGCTATGTGTAGATGAAATGAAGGCAATGTACACGACACTTCGAAGTGGTTTAAATGCTTCTGCACCGCTTTAATGGTGTTGGTATTTGTATGTGTCGGCGGTGTATTGCACAGTAATTCCAGCCGCTGTAGCAAATTCAGTGGTGTAACGCTCCTTACATGACTTGGGGCACAGCAAACTAAAACTCTGAGGAGTTGTTGCAGTTTGTGCCTTACAGCCTTGGAATGAAGCACTGGGCTCCGTGCAGCTCAGGGGCTCTGCAGGAAGCCCACGCAAACAGCTTGGCAGCAGCCCAGGAAAGCAGGCTCCGCCAAAGATCTTTTTTTTTTCCCCCTGGAGCCTGCCTGCTTGCCTGAGTTGTGCAGGGACCCAGTGCTTTCCTCTGTGACTGCAGTGCCCTCCAGGACTGCCTGAGCTGGGTGCTTGTGGGTGGGTGCCATTTGGGGGGTGGGGTGGAGCCACCACTGCCACAGAAGGAAGCACCAGTCCCCCCTGCAGCCCAGGGACTGCTCTGCCCACCGGCAGCTCACCCTCTCCTTCCCTCCCCACCACCAGAGAGGCAGGTAAGTTTGGGTGTGTGCACAGCACAGGGGTTTAAAGGGCCTTAAATTGAAGTGGTGTTTTGCATTTGCAGGTATCAAATTTAGGTGCAATTAGCCTAATTTTGCCATTTTTAATGCACATTAAGGGCATGCATGTGTAGACACGTACCTGTAATGCACAGTAAATCAGGATAATGCACATTAATGCATCTCATGTAGATGCGCCCTAGTATTTATAACCATTTCTACACTGGTCAAACATTTAAACTAATGAGCAGAGAGGCTGACTTATTTTGGAGTTGTAAAAGTTTCTAAGGCACAACAATTAAAAGTCTGGACATTGCCCTTGCTACTCTCTATTTTAAAATATATATAATTGTAATGTTTTCCAAACCCATTAATGTTCTGCTTCTTTCCCCAGAAGTTTTTTGCCTCTTTTCATCCATTTCTTTGAAGTGAAATGCCTAGGAAAAGTGGAAAATGAAGTTTAGTTGTAGGTTTCTAGAGTTCTACATTATAAACACCAAAGTTTGGCATTCAATTGCTTTTCAGTGACATTTTGTAAACTTTAGATGGGCGTGTCTACATGTGCATTAGCATACTCTAAATAATGCACATTAAATCTAGTACCACTGACATGTTAAATCTCAGCTAGCTCTGCACTGTAACATTTCATATACTGTTAATAACACTAGGAAAAACACTTTTTTACAATGAACTGATAACAATAAACTGTAGGAATGTCAAACACAACAAACACACACAAAGAAAGTCTTCCTTCTTGCTTGGGATGCTTCAAGCCATCCAGGTAGCATGGAGAGCAGCTTCCTGCAGCTAAGTCTATGGGAGGGAAGGGGTACAGGAGGCAGATTGAAGCCCCCATGGTGAGGGAGGGAGTGGGGCAGGGACTAGAGCAGGGGTGGGCAGTTATTTCAGATGGAGGGCCACTTACTGAGTTTTGGCAAGCCATTGAGGGCCACATGACAGGCATCCAGGGACAGATAAATATTAATTTTCTAAATTTTTTAGGGGCTCTGTGGGCCTGATAGAATGGCCTGGCAGGCCACATTTGGCCCGCAGGCCACATTTTGCCCACCCCTGGGCTAGAGGCACTGTCCAGCTACGGTGGTGCATGAGGCCTGGGGCCAGGGTGGGGAGCAGGAAAGAGCCAGAGGGGCAAGGGGGCAGCTCCCTGCCACTGAGCACACTCCCAGAGGGTGCATGGGGGGGCACATGCTGCCCCCCAGGTTTGTGCATGGGACAGGGGCAGATGCAGGCTGCCCACAGCAGGCTTAGGGCTCCCCACCCTGTTGTCCTGCCCCAGGGAGCCCTGTGTTGGCTGCACCACCATGGCTAGGCACCCCCTGCCTGCACGGTAGCAGCGAGGGTGGTAGCTGTGTGGAGTTGTACCCACCACTGGTGCTGGGTGGGCAGGAGGTGCATAGCCAGCACAGGGCTCCCGGGGGAAAGGCAGCAGGGCAGGGAGCCCCAGCCTGCAGGAAGCAGCCTGCATCCACTCCCACTCTGCTCCAGCCATGCTGCTTGTTGTGGGGGGGATGTGAGGGAAGAGGAGGAAGAGGCGGGCATGTGTCCTGCTTTTCAATTTTGAAAAGGTGGTCACCTTAGGGCAGGGGTAGGCAAGGGTAGGCAATGCTTTTGGCCAGAGTGCTGAAAAAACTACAATACTACCTTTTTTGTTGTGTATTCTTTTCTTGTTAAGCATGTTGTGATAAGAGAAAGAAAGAAGAGAAAAAGAGGAGAGAAAGAAAAAAGGAACGGAATGAGAAAGAGAAACAGACACACACATGCAAACACACAGAGAACAGGCACATGCACACACATACACCCAGAACCAGACACACATGCACACACAGACACACATAACTGAACACATACGTGCAGACAGAAACACAAAGAACCAGACACACATGCACACGTGCGCAAACACATACACACACACGTGTGCGTGCAGCTGGGCTGCAGGACAAAGAACAACTTGATGATGCCCTGGGCCCTGTGCTTCCCCAGGGTGCCAGTCCACTGGCTGCAGCATGGCCTGACAAGGCCCTGGCCCAGAACCCATCCATCAGCCAGCTGCCTCCTCCCTGGGGGCAGGAGGGCGGAGGGTGGAGATGCTGCACTGGTCCAGGCAGGGCCCTCTTCCCCAGAAGCTGCGGCTATGTTGCACTGGGGAGGAGGCAGCGCAACAGGCTGGGAGGGGAGGAGAGTGGGGGGGCAGCACAATTCCAACCCCACCACGCAATCCCAGTGCCTCCAAGTGAGCCCAGGTAAGCCGCTGCCCAGCCCACCTCTGGCCATGTGCACCAGGCTGCATTCACTGACAGGGTAAGCCACCACATTGTGCTCACTCCGCTCATTTCCCCATCACTAAGCTGCACCTGCCGGAGGTGGCCCCAACCCATGGCCCGGCCTGTCCTAGTCCAGCACCCCCATGTGGCTTCCTTGGCCGAGGCTGAGCAAGGCCAGTTCAGGCCATGGGGGTAAGGCTGTGAAGGAATCCTGTTCCAGCCTCCTCCTCTCCCTGCGGGTAGTTTGTTTCCCTGCCTCTCTCTCGCCTATGTGTCTATCACTCCAGCTGCTAAGCAACCCACTCTGCTTATGTGCCTGAGGACAGGTAAGAGGGTGGGAACTCAACCCCTCTATTGTTTTAAGCACTGACCTCATGGCATGGGGTAAGTGCTGGAAGATGAGGTCAGAAAGGTCATTCATAGATTCATAGATTGTAAGGCCGGAAGGGACCTTGGAAAATCATCAGGTCCAGCCCCCTGCACCAAGCAGGAAAGATAACTGGGGACCAGGTAACCCCAGAAAGGCGACTGTCTAGTCCCCTCTTGAAGATTTCCAGGGTAAGTGATGGCACCACCTCTGGATGGAGCTTATTCCACAGTCTGAACACCCTGACTGTGAAGAATTTTTTCCTAATGTTGAGCCTGAATCGATCTTCCAGGAGTTTGTGACGATTACTCTTGGCTTTCCCCTCGGGTGTGCTTGTGAACAGTTACTCACCAAGCCCTTGATATACTCTCCTAGTGTAGCAGTAAGCTGCTACCAAGGTCCCCTCTCAGCCTTCTTTTCCTCAGGCTGAAGAGTCCCAGATCCCTCAGCCTTTCCTCATATGCTTGCCTTTTAAGACTCTGATCATACGTTTGGCTCTTCTTCGGACTCTCTCAAGCTTGTCCATGTCCTTGTTAAAGTGTGGTGGTGCCCAGAACCTGATGCAGCACTCCAGCTTCGGTCTCACCAGTGCTGCGTAGAGTGGAAGAATCACCTCCTTGGCTTTGCTGTAGATGCATCAATTGATGCATGTCAGAGTATTATTTGCCCTACAGGCTATAGCATCACACTGCCAGCTCATACTCATACTGTGGTCTATTATTACCCCCAGAACCCTTTCATTCGTGATGCCAGTCAGTTTGGTACCATCAAGTTTGTAGGTGAGTTGGCGGTTGCTTGTCCCAAGGTGGAGCACTTTACATTTCTCAACATTGAACTTCATCATGTTCCCATCCGCCCAACTTGCTAGGCTTTCTAGCTTCACCTGTAACTGTAACCTATTTGCAAGTGTCACCATGCTTCCCCATAACTTGGTGTCATCTGTGACCTTGGCCAGTGAGCTCTTCATCTCTGTAGCAGGGCACCAGGGTGCCTGCTACTGGTGGTGGTAATATGGGCTGAGCTGCCAATCACTGGGGCAGCAGCTGAGGGTTGCCAAGGCAGCTGAGTGGGTCAGCTGACTGCCAGGGGCAGGGCCGGGCCTTATATAAACAGCAAGGCCAAAGCCTGGCTAGGGGGTTACCATCTTGCAGCCTGAGAAGCAGGAGCTCTGCTGAGGAACAGAGTAGGGCAGTTCCCTTCTGGCAGCCTGAGGAGTCAGAGCTCTGCAGGAGAGCTAAGCCAAGCAGTGCAGCCTGAGCACCCAGAGGGCTGCATGATGGGCAGAGTGAAGAGAAGCCTGACCAGGAGGCTGTGGGCCAGGGAGCCAGGCGGGCCTGGACTTCATGTTGTGGTCGGTAGGCTTACTGTTTTGTTATAGCCGGTAGGCTTATTG